CCCATAAAAATAGCTCCATTGCAAGAAAACTCAGCTAACCGACTTTTCTTTTGCTTTGCAATTTCTTTTCTCTCTCGCAGCATTATGGACAACTAAAACAAAATAGCACTGAGGAAAACCCACACACATACACACATCGAAGGCGAAATTAACCGCAAAAAGCAAATCGACGCCGGAAGGCGTTAACCACAATAACAACAACAACAACARCAACAGCAACAAAAGCAACAAAAACAAAATGCAACARCTACAAAAGTTGATCTGCATCTGCAGCTGCATCTTGGTCAGCATCTGTGTGAGCCAAACGATGGCATTGGCCAACTGCCCGCCCGGCTGCCAGTGCGACGACAACACCCTGGTGGTGCAGTGCGGCGAGGGCCAGCTGGACGTGCTGCCCATTGCACTGAATCCCTCGATTCAGCGCTTGGTGATCAAGAGCAACAAGATCAAGACCATCGACTCGTCCATTCAGTTCTACGCGGAGCTGACGTTCCTGGATCTGTCGCARAATCATCTGATGACCATACCACAGCGCACRTTCGCCTACCAGAAGAAGCTGCAGGAGGTGCATCTCAATSACAACAAGATCGGCCAGATCAGCAACAAGACCTTCATTGGCCTGTCCGCCGTGACGGTGCTCAATTTGCGTGGCAATCTGATCTCGGAGCTGCATCAGGGCACCTTCTCGCCGCTGCTGAAAATCGAGGAGCTGAATCTGGGCGAGAATCGCATTGGCTTCATCGACCCCAAGGCATTCGATGGTCTGAAGCAGCTGCGCATTTTGTACTTGGATGACAATGCGCTGACCACTGTGCCAGATCCCGTGCTGTTCCAGGCCATGCCCAGCCTGGCTGAGCTCTTCCTCGGCATGAACTCGCTGCTGACCATCCAGTCGGGCGCTTTCAAGGATCTGAAGGGCCTGACCCGGCTGGAGCTGAAGGGCGCCAGCCTGCGGAACATCTCGCACGACAGCTTCCTGGGCCTGGAGGAGCTGCGCGTCCTGGATCTTTCCGACAATCGACTGCCGCGCATTCCCTCGGTGGGCCTCAGCCACCTGGTGCGCCTGGAGCAGCTGTCGCTGGGCCAAAACGATTTCGAGCTGATCAGCGAGGGCGCCTTCGTGGGCCTGAAGCAGCTGAAGCGCCTGGACATCAACGGAGCCCTCAAGCTGAAGCGCGTGATGACGGGCGCCTTTGCGGCCAATGGAAACCTGGAGTATCTGAACCTGTCGTCCAACAAAATGCTCGTGGAGGTGCAAGAGGGCGCCCTCAGCGGACTGCCCCATCTGCGTCATGTTGTGCTGAAGGCCAATGCCTTGACCTCGCTGGCCGAGGGNCTGGTTCTGTATCGCTGCCGGCACAAGATTCGCGAGTACCTCAAGGGCGGCGTCTGGGGCAACTCGGCGCTGGGCCGCAAGGAGCGCGAGTACCAGAAGACTTTCTGCGACGAGGACTACATGTCGCGGCTGCAGCATCATCCCTGCTCCCTGGGCATCCACTCCACCTTCCCCAACACCTACACGGCACCGCATCAGGCCACCGCCGGACCGCATCACCACTACGGCATGTGCCCGATGCCCATCAACGATCTGAATGCCGTCGATGGCCAGCACAAGTTCCAGCAGCTGCAGGTGCCGATGTCGGCGACGCTGATGCACGAGAAGAAGCTGAACAACAACAAGAGCCTGGCGGGCACCGTCGACGACAGCGCCAGCTTCGTGCTGCACATGAAGACGGCCACGATGGGACGCGATCCGCAGCAGCAGCTGCAGCAGCAGCAGGCGCAGGCGCAACAGCAGCAATCGCACCCACAGCAATCCAAGCTCAATCACTATACGAAGCCGCAGTTTCTGGCCGCCACGGCGACCGTTGGCGACTCCTGCTACTCGTACGCGGATGTGCCCATGGTGCATGCCCCGCAAACGCTGCGCGTCACCCACGAGCACTTCAAGCAGCGCGAGCGCGAGCCCCGCGACTTCGCCTGCGATGCGGATGCCAGCGGCGAAATGATGGATCCCAATTACATCTACAGCAATGCGCACTACTCGCTGCCCCTGGAGCAGATGGGCCGCAGCAAGACGCCGACGCCGCCGCCGCTGCCGCCAGCGCTGCCGCTGCGCAACGGGCTGTGCGCCACCACCGGGCGCCGCTCCTTCCAGCACAAGTCCGCGCACAACAACAACAACAGCAGCAATGCGAGCACCATGCGCCAGTTCACGCACTGATCCTCGGAGCACTATCGTCGCAGGCAGCTGAGCATCTATGCTTAGTCGTGTCGTGCCGTTGTCAACTGTGATGCCAAAACTCCACCCGCCCTACCGCCCTCCCCGATTGCTCCCCTCTCCCATAACCACAACAACAACAACAGCAACAAGCACTTAAGCGTAATCTGAAGAAATTTTAGTAGTAGAGCACATAAGATACTAACGGGCAGCGTTTACACGTGTCGCAATCGAGATCAACTGAAACTATATACATATAAATTATATAGTGCATTATCTTGACAGTCTAAAATTAACAAGGTTTTCTCTTCTATTTTTGTAGAGTATTTGCCTAAAATACTCACGAGCCGACCACGTGTAAACGCCGCTTGAGACATAAGTTAAACGAACATAATTCAAGAAACTTGATCAAACTCTATTATTCTGTATATAAGCACGAAACAAAAAACTCAATGCGATCTCTATGCACTTTGACTACTTACTGTCTTTCTACTACTATTTTTCCATTACAGCAAAACAGAAAAAAGCAAATTGTATTTATTTAGCACGTAAGCAGCCTAGTTTGTAAATTAACTTAAACAAAATATTAGACTAAGAAAACATTGAAAAGAAATCAACAAAGCACTGAGAGTCACTTGTAAGTTTAATTTAAATTATTTCAAACGAAAATCGATTGTTAAAAAAAGAAACACAAGAAAAGCGTATTTGTAAGCCATGACTATGTATTTATTAGTTAGTGAAACAAT